TAGCCTTTTGTTTAATACAAGTTGTCTGACAGTACTTGTGTATGTGTTTAATATTTTTTCAATTGAGATAACATTGATTTACAGCACTGTATATGATATATGGGTACAGGTACATACTTCTTTAGATGTATGTTTTACCCACCACCAAGGCATAAATTTCTAGGGTTTGTTTTGGTTTAGTTTTGCCTCTTCCTTTCTTTTGTTTATTTATATTATACATAGAAGTGAAGTCATCCAGTATTTGTCTTTGTCCTTATGACGTATTTCACTTAGCATAAACCTCCCCCCACCATCCATCCATGTTATAGCAAATGGCAAAATGTCATCTCTTTTAACAGCTGAATAGTATTCCATTGGGTATGTATGCCACATCATTTTTATCCACGCATCTGTGGTTGGACACTTGGATTGTTTCTGTAACTTGGCTATTGTAAATAGTGCTGCATTAAATACAGGGAACACTAATTCCTTTTGAATTAAGTGTTTTTTCATTCTTTGGATAAATACCAAACAGTGGAATTGCTGGATCATATCATGTATTTATTTTTAACATTTTTGAGAAAATTCCATACTGTTTTCCACAGGAAGCACCATGGCCATAATTTTTACTTATCCCATTAGAATAGTACTTATTTTTAGGGTAACCTCACCTAGAACCTGATGCTTACTATAATCAAAATGAAAATCCCTGATCCCCCTCTCTGTTTTATACTTGGAAGCTTGTCCTGCACTGCTAGGAAAATTATTCATCATTATTAAATTCAAAAATCCCTATTGTTACTCATCTTGGCACACCCAGCAGAATCGCCATGGGAAAAACAGGTACTTTGTGACTTGAATTTGTAGGGGTTTTTTTAAGAAATTGTCACCTTTTTTCCCCTTACTTAGTACCTTGATACAAATAACATGTCTCTTTCAAATAGCAATCCCATTAGTCTCCCTTGTACTTCAGGAAGATAATGGCCCATTTCTTGGAAGTCTCCCTCAGAGCCCCCGAAATAAATTCCATTTATACCAATAGTTTCTGTTTATGCCCTGGAAAAAATCTCAGTAAAATATATGTGTATAAATTCTTGTATTTATCATATTCGTATATCATATATATTATATAATATAGCATATAATGTACATTATATATCATAATTCATATATCATATATATGTGATATCTTGTGATGCAGTACCAGAAATAAATATGACTTTATTGTAAACTCAAGGTTTTGTAATTTTCAGACCTTTTGTTTGGGACACACCCAAGTTGTTTGGCCTGTTTTAGGTACTAAGGACCACTGTAAGATATATATGAGTATTTTTCTGTACTTTATTTGTAATGTTACTATTTGTGAGGATGTTGTGCTTTTCTAGTTTGCAACTGAGGAAGCCTGTCATCATCATTAGTACTCATTCATTCAACATGCGCACCTGTTTTAGCTTAGGCACTGGATCTGCAAATATGAATAAAACATGATCCCTGCTCTGGAAAACTTCATGGTTTATTGAGGGAAAAAGATACTGTAATACATAATTATACTTCAAAGTGATACATTGTATATAATATATATAAATATATGAGCAAACTGTTATGTATAAAAGGGGGTGCAAGAAATTTGGACTATATGGTAAGGTTACAAAGAGAAAGTGACTTTTGAGCCAAATCTTGAAGGATAGATGGGGATTGCCATTTAGAGAAAAAGGAACAGGGAATGGACATTACAGAGAAGGGAACTGCCTATGCAAAGACCTAAAGGCATGAGGAAGCATGTAGAGTAAGAGGGGTATCTTCAGTCTAGCTGGAGAAAAAGCCTGTGTGAAGGACATTTATCAAAATTAAGAATTAGAGTTTATGCCCTGGGAGCTTGTCCTTGAGTAGTGGGTAATCATTAAAGATTTATATTTATATATATATATATATATTTTTTTTTTTTAAGATTTATTTTTATTTATTTATTTATACAAGCACTGGGTAGTCAGAAGTGCGGGAGGGTGAGAGAATTCACCAGAGCCAGAGCAGGGAGCAGAGCAGGCAGAAGGATGGAAGTACACTGCTGAGGGGAGCAGAGGGCGGCAGGAGAGGTCTGCGCTCCATGTGGGACCCTCCTCTGGTGGCCGGGGAGCATCCAGGGATCGAACCAGTGCCACAGAGGCTGCGGGCAGCCTCGCAACCCAGCGTTCAACCGCTGCGCCACCGGGGAGGCCCAATCATTAAAGATTTTTAACCTCATAATCAGATTTAAGTTCCGATTGAGTTTGAAAATCATAGTAGTTTGGGATTGAAGGAAGAAAGATAAGTGACAGACACAGTTAAAAAACTGCTCTACAAAAAAGTTGCCAGAGGGGAAAGGTGATGGGAAGTGAAAAATTCCACTGGTTCCAGATGGAAACTAGACTGTTGGTGGAGATGATATTGTTGTGGTGTGAAAAAAATAATCCTGCTCCCCTCTGTGTTCTTCTAGGCTAACAAATAGTCAAATATACATTAGGCAGATGGATAAGAAGAAATGCCAAGGAAAAGTTGAAAAATGACATGTATATGTTCTGTATATAGGAGAAAGACCCAACGTGACTTAGTAATTCACCTACGTGGCCTTGATGCCATCTTAAATAGCTTAGCTAAGACAAGACAGGTTAGTGGTCAGAAAGAGGAAGTTAGAGCATTTATCTGGAAAACAAAAGCATGCTGATTAAAGTTCTGCCTTCTCACCTAAAGATATGAGGAAAGAAGTTTACACATATATTTCAAAAGCAGCATCCACCCAGTCTTAAGAGCCTCTCCTATGAAATAAACCTCTTGCCAGAGAGACAGGTTTTGCTCCCCTATAATATACAGATATCAAATTATAATGCTGTACAACTGAAATCTATATAATACTGTAAATCAGTCCTTCAATTAAAAAAAATGACCTTGTTTTCCAAGAAATTCGCAGCAGTTTATGCTAAGACAGCAGCTGTGGAGATAAAGAGAAATCTCTGGACTTGAGAGTTTTGCTAGGTATGAACAATAGATTATTGTGATCATGTGATAGGGTAATGGGGACTGTTGAGGGCTGGGAGATCTTTTCAGGAACACTCTAGTAGGTAGGCAATCTGGATCTGAATCTTGGGAGGGAGGTCACCATAAGTAATATTTTTTTAGTTCTTACTGTTTATTTTTCCATGAAAAGCAAAGATTCTCAAAGGTTAACTGATCATGGTCTCAGGAAGATGACTGTATGCCCCAAACAAATTCCTGAGCTTCTTAACTAGATCTTAACTAAAATGGCCTTTTGAAGGAAAAAAATAAATTTCTTGATTTCCACTATAGTTTACTATTTCATTTCCTAGAGTATCTTCACTTAAAAGTAAAAAAAAACTAGTATATGTCTCCACAGTACATATATTTTCTGATCTCAATGTTATTTGACTGGCGATAGACAAATGAAGACTACTCAGAATAATAGTAGAGCTCCCAAACGTCTTATTTTATTCTAGTAAAACCTTAAAATTCAAAGATTAGGGAGTTCTTAAGAAAGATTTGTTAATATATGTTTGATCTAACTCATTTGTTGCCCTTCTTCCATGTGAAAGAGACTACAGGTGTTCCAGAATGAAGGTGTGATAGCCATTTCTCTGCAGGAATTTGTCTATCTGCCTGTATAATTTAAGCCTTGCTAGTGTTCAATGGTCCATTGGGTTGTTTGAAACTATATTTAATTTCAAACCATGCTGATTTCTAGTTGTCTTTTGTTATTCACTTCTAGTTTAATGGCATTGTTGTCAGAGATGATATACTTCATAATTTTTTTTGAAATTTTGAATTTTTTTGTTGATAACTTGTTTATTACCCAGTATATGTTTGATTTTTTTTTAAACTTTTTTTTAAAGATTTATTTATTTATACAAGCACTGGGTACAGTCAGAAGCGTGGGAGGGTGAGAGAATTCATCAGAGCCAGAGCGGGGAGCAGAGCAGGCAGAAAGACCAAAGCATACTGCTGAGGGGAGCAGCGGGCGGCAGGAGGGGTCTGCGCGCCATGTGGGACTCTCCTCCGGTGGCGGGGGAGCAGCCGGGCATCGAACCAGTGCCGCAGAGGCTGCAGGCAGCTTCACAACCCAGCGCTCAACCCCTGCGCCACCGGGGAGGCCTCCTATATGTTTGATTTTTATAAATGTTCTATATATTAAAATATATTCTGTAGTTCTATATATGTTCAATTAGTAAAATCAATTAATTGTGCTATTCAAATTTCTATATCCTTACTGAATTTTTGTCTGCTTGTTCTATCAATTACTGACAGAAATGTGTTAAATATCTTCCAATGTTTGTGGAATTGTTTATTTCTCCTTCTAGCCTTGTGAAGAGTTTGCTTTAAAGATTTGTTTGTTTTTTTATTTAAAAAGTAATCCTGCAGTAATTTAGAAATGTTTTCCATTTGGATGATTGGTTGGTAATCCTTGAAAATGAAGAATAAAATAGATAATTCTTCAAAATCTACCTTTAACCTCAGATTTCAGGGGTCTGTCAGCATGAACCACTTGGTGGGTAGGAAGGATTTGAGTAGACTTTGAACAAGGCAAATTACCATCCATATGGAATAATCTTTTTTCACACATATAAAAAAAATTAACACACCCTATTCACAAGAAATTCTTGTTTTAACTGATACTATTTAGAGTCTCCAGGTGACTGTGGTCTTTCTCCTTACTCTTTTCCTGATTGCCATGAAATGTAGTTCCCTGCTATTTATGGCAGCTGCAGTAGAATGAACCAGAAGTGATTATAATTCTATATTTAGTAAGCCATAGGGTTTGTAAAGCATCTGCAAATTCCTTTAGGATAAAATGGTTTCTATAAATGTGACATTTTTATTGAAACTGTTATCATCACCCGTTAGAGAAATGTATGTGTGGATTTGTGGACAAGACAGAGGCACAAAACTTTTTCTTAAGAGCTCGTTGAGTAGTTTAAATACTTAAAATTAATCATGTGAATCCTGTTTTTTACACTCTTACTCTTGAATTGCAGAGCTTTTACCCAAGTGTTTACCTTTGGTCCAACATTCCGAGCAGAGAATTCTCAGAGCCGGAGACACCTGGCAGAGTTTTATATGGTGGAAGCAGAAATTTCTTTTGTTGAGAGCCTTGGCGATCTCATGCAGGTAGGTACACAAGTTTTAAAGTACTTTCTAAGTATCAGGCATCTGTGACATTAAAATACTTCAGTCTACATTTTCACCTCAGACATCTATGCATGACAGATGTCCATAGAATGAAGAAAGTGGAGAACTATTTACTTAATAAACATCTGAAATAAAATAGTCTGAATGCCTTTAGTGTAATAGTTTAAAGGACAAGAGTCAGACAGATTTAAATTCACATCCTACCTCTGCCATTAACTTAGTTAAGATGTTACCTAACCTTAGTTTATTCAGCTTCCTTACCTGTAATGAGAATACCAACACCTATTTCATATGTAACATAAAACACCTTGTATGGAATCTGACACATAGCGGACTCAATAAACAGTAGTTCGTGTTATGTGCTAGACAAATAAATAGAACGTCTTTCTAGTGAGAGAAACATCTGTATAGCTGTATTAGAAAGAGCCACAGAAACTGTCAGAGCTCTGTTTGGGGGCACGGGGTAAGGCTAGCGAGGAAGGAGGATCTTGTATTTAAATGCCATGCTAGGGAGTTTGAACTTTATCTGAAAGATAATGGAGAAAGAGTTCTCAGTTGGGAAAGGTCATGGTCAGAGTTACATTTTAGAAATGCTCTCTAGCAGCAGTATGAAGAATGATTTAGAGGAAGATAAAAATAGGAGCTGCGGCCCTTATAGGAGGCTCTGGTCATAATCCAAATAGAGCACACAGCTCTGGAGTTGGCTGGACCATAATTTAATTCTCAGCTCTACCGCTTACTCATTATGTGACCTTTGGCGCTGGACTTAATGGGAATAGTAATTCCTACTTCATAGGGTAGGGTAGTTCAGAGCATTGGAAATAATATATATAGTGCCTAGGGCATACTCCACATTATTTAGTAAATACTCAGAAATTATTAACTCTTGTTATTAATTTTCTATCCAATACCATTTTGGTTAGTATCTTAGTTTCAGTTTGTAATTGATGTTTATCTTAGCAGTTCTCAACTTTCTTTTCTATTAATTTATGTATCATACCACTCTTATTTACCCAGTAAATGAATCTATTCCACCCAAAATATAAATGTCACATATGTACCAACTAGAATGGACTGTTTATTTTATTATCCTCATTGGGTTGACTTTCCTAATAAATAAACCTTAAAGGAAAGTTATGTGCAAAGGACTATGAGGACATGTTCTCGAGAACAACACCTCTAAGAAAAGGAAGAAATCAGCATTCGGCTAAGGGAAAAGTTGAACTGTGATATATTTACAAAGGCTTTAGGAAGTTCTTTGAGAAATTTTGGAGCTGGGATGGGCCTTCACAGTTATCCCATAGGAAGGCATAATTCTTCATTTCTCGGGAATAAATGCCCAATAGTATTCTTCCTGGGTCATATGATAGTTACATACTGAGTTTTATAAGAATCCATTAAGCTATTTTCCCTAGACTGTTCCACCAGCAATGTCTGAGGGACCCAGTTTTGGCACATCCTCATCAGTATTTGGTGTTTTCACTTTTTTATTTCAGTCTGACAAAGTATCTAGTAGTATCTCATGGTTTTAATTTGCATTTCCTTGCTAGCTTATGATGTTGAACATCTTTTCACTCATTTGTCATCTGTATATCCTCTTCAGTGAAATATCAGCCCATGTCTTTTGTTCATTTCCTATATGGATACAAATCCCATATCAAATATATGATTTGTAAAAGTATTCTGACATGCTGTGACTATTTTTTCATGTCCTGATGGTGTCCTTTGAAGTACGAAAGTGTTAAATTTTGATAAGCTTACCTGTACTTATTTTGGGATCACTTTTATTTTGGGTATCATGGGTAAGAAAATATTGCCTACCCAAGGGTCACAAAGATTCAGTCTTATATTTTCTTATATTTTCTCTAAGAGCTTCATAGTTTAGCTCTTTCATGTAGGTATATGATTCATTTTAAGTTAATGTTTGTGCATGATACGTGGCAAGAATGTCATTACATCTTCTGCATATGAATATCAAGTTGTTCCAGCACTATTTGTTGTAAAAACTGTTGTATTCCATTTAATTGTCTTGGCACACTTGTTGAAAATCAACTCTTGACAAATGTAATTATTTCTGCACTCTCAGTTTTGTTATGCTAGTATCACAGTTTTGATCACTGTATCTTTTCATATCTGTTTAATTTTATTAATGATATTTTCTGTGTGGTTGTTTCATTAATGATAACCATATGGTTAGATTAATATTATTTGACCTTTATAATATTATAATATTATTTAACCATCACAGTATCTTTTCATATCTGTGTAATTTTATTAATGATATTTTCTGTATGGGTGTTTCATTAATGATAATCATATGGTTAGATTAATATTATTTGACCTTTATAATATTATAATAATATTATTTGACCATATAATTTGGCTTTTGGCTTCTATCTCTGAGTTTTTTTGTTTTGTTTTTCTTTTTAGTGCTTGCTTTTGGAATTGTGTATATAACATTTCATACTCCACTTAATATTTTACCACTTCAAGTAAAAGAAAGGCTTTGCCATTATGTTTTTCTGTCTATCTTGCAGGTGTATTACCTCATACAGTTTACATACACTGTGTGTAATACATTGATTATTACATCATGTATTAGTTTCCTGTAGCTGCCATAGCAAATTACCATAAACTAGTGTCTTAAAGCAACACCAATTTACTATCAGATAATTCTGGAGGTTAGAAATCTAAAATTGGCTTTACTGGACTAAAATTAATGTCACCAAGGTTGCAATCCTTCCAGACACTCCAGGAGAGAGTTCAGTTCCTGGCCTTTTCCTTGTCTTGGGGACCCATAAGACCAACAATGTATCATTTTCACATCTCCCTGTTTCTTTCACTCATGCCTCCCTCTTTCACTTAAAAGGATCCTATAGTTAAATTATTCCCACCCAATTAATGGGGAAGAATCTCCCCATCCCAAGATCCTTAACGTGTTACACCTGCAAAGTTTCTTTTGCCATATAAGGTAACATCTTCCCGGTTCTGGGACTTAAAACATGACATTTTGGGGGAAGAGGGTATTATTCAGTCTATCACAGTCCACATATCACTGAAAACTTCTTGGACAATGTTTTAATTTTTGCTTTAAAAATCATAAATATTTAAAGAATTTGAGGAGAGGAAAATTGTCTATTATCATTATCTACATAGTTACTATTTCTATTACTCTTCCTTCCACTTCCAGTTCCCCTCTGGTATCATTTTCCTTCAGCCTAAAGAATTTTCTTAAGTATTTGTTTTATGATCATTTGGGCTGGCAATAAATTCTTTTAGATTTTCTTCATCTGGGAATTTTTTTTTTTAAGATTTTTTTATTTATTTATACAAGTACTGGGTACAGTCAGAGCACGGGAAGGTGAGAGAATTCACCAGAGCCAGAGTGGGGAACAGAACAGGCAGACTGACGAAGTACACTGCTGAGGGGAGCAGTGGGCGCAACAGGAGAGGTCTGCACGCCATGTGGGACCCTCACCTGGCGGCGGGGATCAAACAGGCACTGTAGAGGCTGCTGGCAGCTTCGCAACCCAGCGCTCAACTGCTGCACCACCGGGGAGGCCCTGAGAATTTTTAAAAAATTTTATTATCATTCCTAAAAGTTATTTCCACTGGATATATAATTTGGGATTAATAGTTCTTTTCTTTCAGTACATTGAAGATATTCTGCCATTTTTTGGGGGGACCTTCATGGGGTTTGTGGATAAATTCACTGTCTTTTGAATTGTTCCTCTATATGTAATGGGTCATTTTTCTCCATTTAAGAATATTTTCTGTGGGGGCCTTCCTACTGGTGCAAGGGGTTAAGACTCAAACTATGAAGCTGTCCGTAGCCACTGCAGCACCAGTTCAATCCCCGGCCAGGGAGCTACCCACATGGCACAGCAGACCTCTCCTGACTCGCCCGCTGCTCCCCTCAGCAGTGTATTTCAGTCAATCAGCCTATTCTGTTCCCCACTCTGTCTCTGGTGAATCCTCTCACCCCACCCCCACCCCCATCTCTGGCCTATATCCCGGTTCTTGTATGCATAAATAAATCTTTTTTTAAAAAAAGAATTTTTTTCTGTATCTTTGTTTATTGGCAATTGAATCATGATGTGTCTAGGTATGATTTTCTTGGGTTTATCCAATTTGTGATTTAGTAAACTCTTTAATGTATCTTTAGCCAATTTGAAGGAATTTTTAGCCATTACTTCTTTCACATTTCTTGTGTGCCAATCTTTGTCTTTTCTGCTTCTGGTACTCCATAACACAGGTTAGGTTTTTTGATATTGTACCATAGCTCTCTGGTGCTCTGTTCATTATTTATCACTCTTTTTTCTCTATGTAATTCAAAATGAATCATTTCAACTTACCTGTCTTTAAATCCACTAGTTCCATTTGTTATTATCTCCATTCTGCTCATGTGCCCATTCTGTGGTTTTTATTTAGTTATTATACTTTTCAATTCTAAAATTTTAAGCTTCTTTTCTAATTTATGTTTCTCTTTTGAGAAGGTCTAACTTTATGTTTGCCATTACCTTGTGGAGGATGGTTATGATACCTGCTTTCGTTGTCAGATACTTTCAACATCTGGGTCATCCAGGCAATTGCATGTCTTCGTTGTCTTGTCTCTTGAGGATTATCAGATTTTCCTTGCTCTTTCTATGTCCAGTAATTTGGGACAAAATGTCATGTTATATGACATTGTAATAGAGCCCTGTTAAAATTCCCTGGAAATGGTGTGTGTTGGTGTTGTTGATGTTTAACTAGTCATTAAATCTGTTTAGATTCCGACGTAAGTTCTTTGTCACTTTCTGTTGGTGTTGGCTTCTATGTCAGTTAAGTTTTCAAAGCCTCTCCTATGCTGTTTGGGACTGGTCGATGCACATGCCACTCAGCCATTAGTTTGGAAATTGCACAGTGGTTTATGTTATAATGTATTGCTTAAAGTTTGCACTTGCTTCTCTAGGCCTGGTCCTCACATGACTATTTAGGGATCAGTCCTTCTCTTAGGTCTGTTCATGCACAGAAATAGGGGGTCATCTCCTGCTCTTTGGAACTTCTCCCAAACTGGCTCTCTAAAGCGAGTTAATCTGTTCCTTGGACCAGAAAGACAGGTTTCTCTTAATTTGTCATTCCATCTAGGTGACTGTGGCCATTTTTGGGTCAAAGTGGCAGGAGCAAACAAAAAAAATAATGGGGCTTCCCCAGGTACACACTCTTCAGACAGAAAGGCCCTTTTCACAGCTCCTCTTGTTGGAGGAATGAAATTTTCTTGGAGCTTTGGGTGGTTAGGCTTCTTTCTGTTGCCCTGACAGCTCTGCTTCACCATTGGGGCTGCCTTTGGGGCAGGACCAAAAAGGAAGGGCGAAAAACATGACCCCGGGATTTCCCTACAAACACTATTCAGTCCACAGGGACTTTTTCCCAGTTCTGTGGCTAGTAACACATATCTCCCAGAATTTTTTCTTCCTGAGCCTGCTGCACAGTTTGACCTTTGAACCTTACATCAAAGCCAAGAGACAGGAAGAAACAGGAACTGAACTATAGCTCCATTATAGGTTATTTTGTAAGTATGCCAGTTCCAGTCTGCTTGCAATTGTTTACTTTTTAAGAGTCCTTAGATAGTGGCTCTTTGTATTCCGTACAGATCTTTTAGTTGTGGTTTGGTTAGAAAGACAGGTAGTTGTCAGCTTAGTCCATCTTGGCCAGCTAGAGAAGTAAAGTGGCTTATTAATATTTTACTATTCACTCTTGAAAGTATCCCAGTTGGGGGCCTCCCCTGGTGGCGCAGGCAATTGAGCGCCATGCTGTGAAGCTTCCGCAGCCTCTGCAGCCCCAGTTCAATATTGCCAGCCGACGAGGGTCCCACATGGTGCGGCAGACCTCTCCTGTCGTGCCTGCTGCTCCCCTCAGCAGTGTATTTCTGTCACTCTGGCTGTTCTGTTCCCCACTCTGTCTCTGGTGAATCCTCTCACCCTCCCGCGCATCTGGCCCATACCCCAGTTTTTGTATAAAATAGATAAATAAATCTTTAAAAAAAAAAAAAAGTATCCCAGTTGGACAATCCATTACATAGCTACACAGGGAAGACTAATTTTTGAGTTTTAATGTTAACCTCCATGAAGATGAGTAGGCCCTTACCTCAGATAAGAAGAATATTCAAATTTTGGTGTCAGTGGATTTGCTATTTACATTTTTATTTATTTGATACTCCACTGAGGAGTACTCAGGGCATACACTGTTGAAGGATTCAATTAATTGAAACATGAACTTTTCCCCTAAAAACGGGGGAAGTACCTTCCCCCAAGAGTAATCTGCTTTTCTTAACTTCCTCCCTTTTATAACATTTTGTGGAAATTATTATCTTAATGAAGAGCAATCTCTTAAATATTAAATAAGAATATTGTGGCAAGGGATAAGGTATAAGTAATTAAATATTACTGTTTTTGGTATCATTTAATATACTTTAAAATGTCAGAGGGTAATTCTAATACTTTAGTTAAGGTTCTGTTTTCTTCAAATATATTTATAGAATATAGTCTGTAGGTCAAGGTAAGAGAAGCCTATGATTTTCTCTTCACATGAAAATTTACTGCTCACAAAAGACACCAATTTAACAACCACAGTGGTCAAAGTCTTCATCGTACAGAAAGGTATATTGTCTCCCTCTACAGTGAAGGCACACTGTCCAGTCTACCTGTTCTTTATTCCTCCCAATATGCATTGGTTGGTTTTTTTTTTTTTTTTAGCAATTGAAGTCTATGACCCTTCATTAATCATTCAGTTGCTTAGTGATCTCTGTATTTTACTGCTAGGTTAAAGATGATACAACCTTAAGGTAAAAAAGTCTTTAGTCTCCTTTTGCTCATCTTTCAAGGTGTTCCTTACTACTATACAAAGTATATTTATAAATATGAAGTTTGTTCACTTAATAAATTTATTATTATATAATATAATACACATATAAATGTCTTTTATATAATATATAAATTTATTATATAAACATGAACATATTTATATATGAATATTATCTATATGAAGTTTATTTATTTAAAATAAATGTCAGTTAAATTTTTTATATATAAATATAAATATGGTTGTCAGTAATTAAGTACTATCCTATATGTGATCATGTTAAATTACTTCAGCAGACATTTATGCCCCATATTTCCAGCCTTGATAAGATATCCCAGTGATGCAGAGAACAAAGGAAGAGCTCCGGCTCTGAGGCGGTCTGTGCCTATTGAATGTGTGTATCTTCAGGAGGCCAAATATGATCACAGTAAATCCAAACGAAAAATTCTAGTCATGATTAAAAATGTCTTAGAAATATTTTCTACTTCAATCACTTACTTCTTCTAAGAATAAATTTGTCCCAAAAAAAAAAAAAAGTTTTTTCCAATGAGACTTCTGTGGATACCACTGGTATCCACAGCTTCTCTTATTTTAGGTCACAGCTTCTCTAATTTTAAAGTTTACTTTCATTTATCAATAACTAAATGAAGCATTTATCAAAGTGTCTTACTCTTCACAACCGCTAAGATTTGTTGTATGCTTCTGTGATATAAGTACCAAGCTAAGTCTTATATACATGGATTATTTTATTTTATTTTCACACCAATCCCATAATCTAGGTACTGTTATTGTACTGATTCCTTGAGTCTGATGAAATTTAGAAAGGCATCGGTTGGTGTGACCTCTTCATTTGATATCCAATTTCAATACCGTATTACAACTGTTAACAAAAGGTTCAAAGATTTTTTCTTTTTCTTTTTTACTCACTCTGAGAAGAAGTTTTGCTGCCTCCTGTAATCAGTCTGCAAAAATGAACTGACTTGCTATAGTACATTTAGGGCATAAGAAACCTGATGGTTTATAATTGCTGAATCCCAGAGAGCAACATAACTGGGACCTGAACAGTTTTTTCATATCAAGTAACTTGCCAGGCAATTCTGTGTCATTTCTCGTAGGTGATGGAGGGGCTCTTCAAGACTGCCACAATGTCGGTTCTCTCAAATTGTCCTGAAGATATTGAACTCTGTCACAAATTCATAGCTCCTGGCCAAAAGGTAATTAGTTTTCTGGATAAAGCCTAATACACCTAATCTAAATATGTTAGTTATATATGATAATTATAATTACATTTAGTAAATTTTCTTTTTTCTCTTTTCTTCCCAAGGACAGACTAGAACATATTCTAAAAAACAACTTTTTAATGTAAGTAAGGATTATACTTCTTCTGAACATTTTCATGCTTTGTCATATTTTTCACACTGTTTTGTAAATTTGTTGTTTATCACATTATACCTGTTTATATCACATTATACCTGTTTATCACATTCCCCAGACTTGAAGAAAGTCCACGTTTTAATGACTTGTATAGTTATTGTATCTGGTTCATAGTTGATAATCAATGTTTCATGAATAAATCATACCAGGAAAAATGAACATAGCTATTGTTAGCTGTATTAATATAATTCAAAGTAATACTAACTTTAGCGATCAAAATTTAGCTTGATTAAAAAACAAACTTTTAAAATGAGCACATTATGTCTGCCCCTCAGTTTTCCTTAGTTTCTGTTTTCTTGTATTTTCTTCCTTTACCTTCACTTGCTAATGTCTGATAATATATTCTAACAGTTTTTAACTACTTTAAAAAAAAAAACCTAAAGGTCATTTAAGTATAACACAGAATTTATTGCTTTATTTCCACTATAATCCTATTCAACCAGTACTTGATATTGGACTGATTATTCATTCCAGCACCAATGTTAATCATTAAAGCTATTCCTTTTCACAATTTATTATAAATCAATAAATCCTTGATGTGGAAAAAGAACAGTAAGCAACCTCTTCATATATGGTATAAACAATTCACATAGTACAAACAATTCAAATTTGGCAAACTTTTCTGAGCTAAGAATTTCCAGTATCAGCCAAGACCTTTGGGCTACAAGTTAAAAGTGATGAGTTGCTGAGCTTGAATGAATAGTATGATGCAGACATGGGCCCAGAAAAATGGGAGTCAGGAGCCTTGTGACAGACAATCAGAAGGCAATGAAGTATAGTAAAGGTTTTTGAGGCTTATCTTCTTTCACTTAGATGTATATTGAATATTTGCTATGTGCCAGGTATTGTTCTACAATCTAGAAACTATCTTAAAGCAGTGAACAGAGCAAATAACATTCCCCATCTTCCTTGAGCTTATATTTCCGGCACAATTAATCATAGACATATCATCTGTGAGAATAAAACAGAAGACAAAAGAAGAGTGAGAAAGTAAAAATTTTAGACAGTGGCAGGGAGGATCTCACTGAGGTAATTTTTGAGTAAAAACCTAAAGAAAGCAAGATAACTAAAGTAAGGATATGTGGGAAAAGAATAATTCAGGCATGGGAAATAGCAAGTTCCAAGGCCCTGATGTGAGAGCATCCCTGGCATGTTCACCAGGAATGAATAGGGAAAAGGATAAAGGATAATAAAAGGTAAAGAAAGAAACTTGTAAGTAGGAGTTGGAAAATCGTGTGTATTCTTGTTGAACACTGTGAAAACATTGAGGGTTTTGCTTGGGTGAGGTGGGAAAGCTGTTAAAGTTTTCTGTGCATAGGGCTGACTAGTTCTGGATTGTGTTTAAGGGGATCACTGGCTACTTGCTGAGGATAACTTGTAGTAGGACAAGAGTGAGAGTAGAAAACCAGGTAAGAGATGATTACAGTCATCTCAGTGAGTGTAAATGGTGGCGTGGACCATGTAATCCCAGCGTTTTCCAGAGAAAAAAGTCCAACATGATATGTATATGGAGAGAAAGATTTATTTAAGGAATTAATTTACGCAGTTGTGAAGGCTTGGCAAATTCCCCTAAATCTAATAGAGTAGTCCAGTAAGCTAGAGACTCAGAGAATAGTTGTAGTTCAAATCCAAAGGCATTCTGCTAACAATTCCATCTTTGCTCAGGAAAATCATTCTTTATTCTGTTAAGGCTTCCAACTGGATGTGGCCCATCTATGTTATTCAGTAATCTGCTTTACTGAGTCCACTGATTTAAATGTTAATCTCATTCAAAAAATACCTTCACAGAAATATACTAGTGTTTGGCCAAACATCTGACACATAAAATTACTCATAAAGGATGATGGCAACAGGTAGAGAGAAGTGAGTATCCTAATGTGGTATATTTTAAAGATAAAGCAAATAAGATTGAGGAAGAAAAAGTGAGTCAAAGGTGACTTAAAGACTTTTTTTTTTTAATTTTTTAATGATTTTTTTTTTTTTTTTTTTTAAGATTTATTTATACAAGCACTAGGTATAGTCAGAAGCGCGGGAGGGTGAGAGAATTCACCAGAGCCAGAGCGGGGAGCAGAGCAGGCAGAAGGACCGAAGGACACTGCTGAGGGGAGCAGCGGGCGGCAGGAGAGGTCTGCGTGCCATGTGGGACCCTCCTCCGGCGGCCGGGTAGCAGCCGGGGATTGAACAGGCACTGCAGAGGCTGCGGGCAGCTTCGCAACCCAGGGCTCAACCGCTGCGCCACCGGGGAGGCCCGACTTAAAGACTTTTATCTTAACTCTTAACTGAGGTTGGGAAAAGCATGAAAGTAAGCAAGATTTTTGTCAGAAGAGGGGGAGTGGTATCAGGATCATCATCATCAGGGGTCATGTTAAGACTGGATAACTTTCAGACATTCAGTTACAGGTGTCAGGCAGGCACTTTGAGTGTACAGATAAGGAACTTATAGGAGAGTTCTGGGCATAGCATATTGATAAAAGTAATAATTAAGTAGATAAGGAAAGAAGTAATTTGGGCATCCCTGGGAATCTGCTGATGACAGAAAACCAGAGAGATCTTAAGTTATCCAACTCCTATCTAATGAATAAGACCTAAGGGGGTGGTGGTGGATAATCACCATTTATTGAATATATACTATGTGGCAGACAGTGATAAGCTTTACATTCATGAACAGTTCATTTATTTTCACAATTCTAATTAAGTATTAGTCCCATGGTACAGATGAAGGATCAGGTCATAGAGATTAAGCAAGTAAATAAAAAGGGATTGAAGTTCATTCATTTGATTTCAAAACATATGCATTCAACCACTACATTCAGTATTTGAAAGGACACTAAAATTAATGCTAGAATAGTTATAGCTCCCCAGCTATCCTTTTGACTCTTTCCTTATCCTTATAAACATACTTTCCTTATCCTTATAACACCTATGTATCAGTAAACTCATGTACTTCGGAATCTATATCTATAAAATACAGAAGCAGGGAAATCAGTAGAGAATATAAATAATTGTGACTATATCAAATTAAAAAACCTCTATACAGCAAAAGAGACAGTAATCAAAACAAGGAGGCACCCTATTGAATGGGAAAAAATGTTTGTACACCATACATCTGACAAAGGACTGTTATCAAAGATCTAAAAAGAACTAATGAAACTCAACAAAAGGAAAAACAACCCAATCAAAAACTGGGCAGAAGACCCTCAACAGTCACCTCTCCAGAGAGGACATATAGTTGACCAACAGGCACATGGAAAAATGTTCATCATCACTTCTCACCAGGAAAATGCAAATCAAACCACAGTGAAATACCACCTCACATGAGTGAGAATTACTGCTGGAGAGGCTTTGGAGAAAAAGGAACCCTCTTATACTGTTGGGAATGCAGACTGGTTCAACTTCTGTGGAAAGCTGTGTGGAGGTTCCTCAAGACACTAAAAATGGATCAGCCATATGACCCAGCTATTCCACTCCTAGGTATCTACCCAAACGTACCTAACTAATTCAAAAGGAAACCTGCACTCCTATGTTGGTTGTAGCTCTATTTACAATAGCCGAGATATGGAAACAAAATAAATGCCCAAAATCAGATGAGTGGCTCAAGAAGACTTAGTATATATACACAGTAGTATCCAGCCATCAAGAGAAGATAAGCTCATGTCATTTGTGGCAATATGGATAGAACTGATAAGGATTATGTTAAGGAGGTGAGCCAGGAGAAAGGGAAATATTGGATGAAATAATGGAAATAATGCTTTAAGTTTTATGCCAGACTAGATAACTTGAAAGCATTCCTGCTACATCCAGAGCATCTAAAAATGCTAATTAAAATATAATAGCCTTTTAAATGCATTGCATTGTTGAGTTCATTAAAAAAAAAGTAAGAGAAGTTCCACCAGCTAGAAATGAAGGGGAAACTGAACAGGGGTGTATCTAAGTGACAAGGCGCTGCAGAGTCTTAAAAAGTGGAGGACATGGGAGATGGCAGGTGGTTTGCCAGTCCTTGAAACCAGAGATTTTAACAGCCACTAGAAGACTTAAGAGTAGATACAAGTGTGATCTATTAGAATTGAGATAATCCCCAAAATACATGCATGCACAAACACACATGCATGTACAAAAGATACCATATGACTTGTAATCTTTTGAATACATAGATTTCAGTGTATTCTTGAATACTAACTATAATTGTTTCATATGAAGATATGTTTTTGAAAATATTTTGAATAGTAATTGAATTAAGTATTTATCAAGCAAAAATAGAATTCTGTTATTTTTCATTTCCTTTATAGTGTTAAGATTTTTAAAATATAAAGTAGTTTTTATTTTCTGATCATATATGTAGTAATAATTTCTTTAGCTTAGCAATTTTACTCCAATAGCTTCAGAATAATTTTCTTTACATTTAACAGTAAAAATTTTGAAATATAAAGGTAATTTGATACTGTACCATACAGTAGTACAATGGCCTTCTCTATGTTTGCACTTTGGAAATAATTTCTGGGAAAGAGAAGAATTATTATTTTCTATATGTTCAATATGCCAGGAAAAATTAGCAGAAAGAATTAGCAAAAGTCACTAAGTATATCCAGTGTCAGAACTGTAATTTGAACTTAAAAACTCTGCTTCAAATTAGTGTTAGGGGGAGAAGGCCACAACCAGAATAACCAGAGATATTTAGAGTTGAGAGTCATTTTTCCTAATAATGTAACAGTAACTTATCAAAATCCCAGTGCTTCTCATTTGACTGCTCTAGTATTGCTTGGTATAACGAGTAGATCATATCAAGTAATTGATAGAATAGAACAATAGAATGCCTAGGCAGAAGAGAATTCAGACAGTGTAACCCAATCTTCGTATTTTACAAAGGCAAATAGTTGCTTTTTTTAATGTCTTACAGTACATTATAAAAATTTATAAAATCACTTCATTAAGGTGAAGTGATTTATGTAGCTAGTAAGTGGTAGAGTCAGGAAGAACCCAGAGCCCATTATCCGTTGTGACTGAACGTGTCAAACTCCAAATGGTTTAGGCATTATCTAAGCCATTAAAAACTTAGACTACTCTGGAATCAGTATCTCAGGTTTTACTCTTTGATTATCTGAGTGATTTTTTGATGAGTTACTAATCTCCTGGCTTTAGATTCCCTTCTATAAAATGCTTGTTATAAAATTATTGCTACTTTCAATTTCACTACCATTCTTACCTGAGAAATGTTCTGTTATTTAATACTAAAATTTAAATGCAATTTTTATCTTTCAAAACATAGCTTTGGGGCCTTTATTTGTACTATTAAGATGCAACTCTTTCTAGTTAATTTGTACTATAAGATACAACTCTTTTAGCAAAAATGCAATTCACTTTTGCTTCAGAGAAGTTTGTGCTGAGTAAGTTATTTTTTGAACACAGAGTTCTTTGGAAACAGAAGACATAAATTTCAGAATACATAAAAATTGCAAATGCAAATACCCTTTGATCCTATAATTCTATTTTTTCCATGTACAAAATTAGTATGTAAGAACTGTTTATAAAAGCATAAAGTAGGTATATGTAGTCATGATTTATAACAAAGTTTGGAAATAGCTGGAATATCCATCAGCAGATGACTGGTTAAACTATTTAGGATACATTCATATCATAGATTTTGTGTAATAGCTTAAAAATGAAGAAATTCTTATACTGGTACTAAAAAATCTGCAAGGTATATTTTGAGTAAAAAAATATTCAAGGAGTGCCATCTGCTAAAATAAATGAAAAAGGCACATACTGTATATTAATAAGAACTTACAAATGTATAAAATTCTGGAAGGAAATACAAGAAACCAGTAAGAGTGATTATGTGCGAGAAGAAACAGGTAGCTATGGGACAGGGATGGAAGGGACATGTATATAACTTTTTAAAACCTGTGTGCACATTATTACCTATTCAGTTAAATTAAAATAAACCCTAGAGAAATGTAAATCAAAACCACAATGAGATACCACCTTACACCAGTGAAAATGGCACATATTAAAAAAATTAGCAACAACAAATCTTGGTAAGGATGTAGAGAAAAAGGAACTCTCCTACACAGCTGGTGGGAATGCAAACTGGTCCAACCACTATGGAAAGCTGTGTGGAGGTTCCTCAAACTACTAAAAATGGAGCTTCAACACAATCCAGTAATTCCACTCCTAGGAATCTATCCAAAGGACACAAAAACATTAATTCAGGAGGACACTTGCACCCCTATGTTTATTGCAGCACTTTTTACAATAGGTAAAAAGCTATGGAAACAACACAAATGTCCCAAAATAGATGACTGGATCAAGAAGATATATGTGTGTGAGTGTAGATATATATATATATATATCTATATCTATATAGATATAGATATAGATATATATAGATATATATGTATACATATGTATGTGTATATATATGTAGATATATATACACACACAATGGAACATTACTCAGCAATCAAAAAAGACAAACTCGTGCCATTCACAGCAATATGGATGGAGCTGGAAAGGATCATACTCAGTGAAATATGCCAGAAAAAAAAAGAAAAATATCTGATGGTTTCACTTATAGGAGGAATGTAGAGGAAACAAATAAGGGATCGGGGGAAAAATAATCATAATAAATTAAAAATCAAAATCAACAGGCAACTATAAATCAGAGACATTCTGCAGGGGAGGAGGAAGGTGAAGGTGAAGGATCAAAACGGGTGGGAAGAGCACATGTGGACTATGATGATGGGACACTGGTGAACTGGTGGTGGGAATTCCACGGGGGCTACACCTGAGAGGAGAAAGCATACATTGTACAGGAACAATGTAAAATATATATAAAATTTTTAAAAAATTTAACTAGATTTAGGCTTGCCTAAAGCCTCTTACTAAGGTAACCAGTAATATTTTTCCTAAAGTCTTAAAATGCTTAGAATATATATAAGCCTTTAATATGACCTGGAATACTTCCCTCTCAGATATTTATGTGGCTCAACTCCTGACTTCATGCAGTTTTCTGCTTAAATATTGTCAACTCAGTGAGGCTTTCTTGACCATCTTACCTAACCCTCTGACTTCTTACCTCATTTTTTTAATTGCCCCAATAGTGCCCTGCCATTATATTATTTCTGTTTGTTTATCTTTCTCCCTACTCCCCACTCCCTACCCTATCTTCCCACCCCCCCCCACACACACACAAACACATCAGCTCTATAAGGTAGGGACTTTGTTTTTATTTACTGTACCTCCCAAACCTATACTAATACCTAGCACACAGCAGTTGCTCAGTATGTTGAATAAATGAATGGTGACTTCAAGGAAAGACTTTTGCTCTTTTGGTCTCAATATTTCATACCTTTTTTTAGGACATTGGTATAGCATGAATTGAGAGAAAATCTCTATTTGCCAAAGTGACTGGCTCCTCTGTATGCTTTGCAAGTAGATCAGAATGGAGTTATCAAGTGGCCACTTCTCTGCTTGCAGATCACTTTCCTAGGATTAACTCAACCTTAATTCCTAATTATTCAATAACCACTTACATGTAAGCATCTTAATTACTTAGTAACCATTTAATACTCATTTATGACTGCAAAGAGTATTTGGACATTGCCTTTGTAGATGTACTAGTTAACAGCAGCCTGGTGAACTAACCCTTCTCTGCTTTTATCCCAGCATTTCTTATACTGAAGCAGTGGAGATCTTAAAGCAGGCATCCCAGAACTTCACTTTCACCCCAGAGGTAATGCAATATGTTTCCCACTTGTCCTTATTTATTTCATTACGAATCATTTAAAATAATTAGATTTATTTTATTAGCAATGTGCATATTTCTTCATATGCATTAGCTTTTGGTTGTTGTTTGCTCAACCCTGTTGAAATATTTAGAATGAGCAGTAATTTTAAAGTAGAATCCTATCACTGGAATAGTGGTGACTAAAAGATTATGAAGACATTTCCCACATTAGAAAAATAAAAAACCTAAAAAAGAATGGTCAGTGGTCATCATAGAAATCAATTAGGTATGGGGCCTCCCTGGTGGTGCAAGGCGTTAAGACACAACCTATGAAACAATCTGCAGCCACTGCAGTGCGAGTTTGATCCCCAGTCAGGGAGCTACCCACATGGTGCAGCAGACCTCTCGACTCACTCGCTGCTCCCCTCAGCAATGTACTTCAGTCAGTCTGCCTGTTCGTTTTCCACTCTGTCTCTGGTGAATCCTCTCACCCCCCACACCTCTGGCCTGTACCTCTGTTTTTGTATGCATAAATAAATAAATCTTCTTAAAAAAAAGAAAAATCAGTTAGGTATGTTTTTTCCAAAGTATATACTGAATGATGTTAAAACGTGGCAGACAGAAGAGATTTTGTGATCAAATAAATTTGGGCAACACATTAAACAGGTTTGTTTTTCTGTTGAACTCTAGAGAGCCTTCTTGTTTGTTATCCACTTTGGGACCAAACAAAGGATCAGACAAATTGTAAGAATGACTTTTGAAATCATACCATAGATCTGAAAAACACTGATATTTTAAAAAAAGAAATCCTTTATTTCATTGGCAAAGATATAGGTAGAGAGGTGACATGATTTAATGGTGGGAATGCAAAATGTTAGATAGAGGCCAGTCTCTTTTCTATGCCTGTGCTTCATTCCTATAAGTAGGATATGTCATGGGATTAATAAGATACTATTAGCAGTTTAATACCTTTGTCTTCAAATTATTCTTTATACTAGTCCCATCTCTAGTCAGATGCCCTTATAAGTTATAATAATATCCAATAATTCTGTGTATAATCAATCAATTTCTTCATGTAATTGGTTTTTTAATGTTTGTCTCTTATCCTAGAAGCGTCATGAAACCCAGAATTTTATTTCTTACCACTATATTCATTGCCAGATACATTTCATGATACCTGCAATCTAATAGGCACATTAGTATTTGCTGAATAAACAGATGAATCGATAGTGTTATTAAATATTCATCAAAGAGCATCTGATATGTGAGTTGACTCTTTTATTAAAATATAATTCACTGAGAAAAGCATTTAGCCAAAGATTTAATATTAGGGATATTATCTTTCATCATTTAATTTCCTGAGATTTAGGAACAGTAACTGTGGAAGAAGCTGTAGGCAATATTAATAAAACTATGATTCTGAAGTCAGTTTTTATACTGTGGAATGTGCACTTTGTTTTCCTGCAGATGGCTATTCATCTGCTAGAAGCTGCTCCTGAGATGGGGACAGAAAGCATAGTGTTTATCTGCTATTTCAGGCTCTATCTTTCCAAGCCTTTGGATGGTCTTGTTAACACATTTCTGCCTAGTTTAGTCATTTGTGTAATCTCAGCAGACAGTTCCACACAACATTGAATCTCAGGGAGAGGAAGACCTTAAAACTGATACAGTTTCTTTTTCAGATGCTGCATTGTATGTTTCAGCTCTGTCTTCTCCTTTGCTAATTTCTTTTTTCTCATTACAGTGGGGTGTGGATCTACACACTGAACATGAAAAGTATCTGGTGAAGCACTGTGGCAACATACCAGTCTTTGTTGTTAATTATCCATTAACACTCAAGCCTTTCTACATGAGGGATAATGAAGATGGCCCTCTGCACACAGTAAGAAAAGAAATTAAATCTTAAAGCCTGGGTTTTTCTCTTGGTTTACTCTTTGGCATATTTTCTTAAGTTATATCTGTCACCCTTTTACTTCTTAACACGATAAACATTTCTCAAAGCACCTCTTAAAAATCACTCACTAAGAAGATCTCAGTGTTATATAAATATACTCCCTCATTTCTATCACAAGGTGTTCTCCTTAGTTAGCAGATGCAAATGGAGATGTCTTTTGTTTTGCTTTAAAAAAAAAAAAAAACTGAGAGGAAGTAGCCTAGAGCACTGTTTATTAATACCAGTCTATCCAATTAAATACTGGCTAGGAGACTCTGGGATCTGGATGGAGAAAGTATGCTGGGCAAGAGATGATAGTGGCATGACCGGTCAGAGAAAGAAGTAGCATGACAGAGTAGGAGGCTTAGAGTACTTTGTTCTGGCTATCAGATAGAAATAGTGAGGGGCGGGCTGTGAGGGAAGAGGTCTGCTGTCAGCTATCCTCTGTCTCCCTGTCTTATCTCTGCTCTCTTTAGCCTTTCTGATTCTGTTGTTTTTACCCCTTAGTTGATTTTTCATTCTTCTGGTTACTTTTTTTTTTGTCTTCTCTACTTTAAAAAATTATCAATAACAAATGGTAAGAGTATATTTGACTCTTTAAATATTAATTGCATAGTTATACACTTAATATCATTAATTATAAAAGTCTATGAGACAAGTATGTTTATTTCAAAATATTTCCAGAAGCTAAGCTTTGCTACTGGTCCTTTTCACTTGTCTCTAGGTAAATACTAGTAGAAAAATGTTTATCAGAAACCTCTAGTAAATAAAAATGTCCTCATCTTAGATATATAAGGTTATCTCTTTGAACATATTTCCTGTTTTCTCTTAATGGTATCACTAAAACAATACAAGCCAACATCTGGTAGACTCCTATGAGTCAAAGCATGAACATCTCATCTCTAAATCCCAAAACAACCTTTTCAAGAAACCTACTATTTCTCCCATTTTACAGATAAAAAAACTGGGTACAAAGGGATTGATGGCATTTCCTAAGGCTACATAGATAGTGACAGTGCTGGTATTCAAACCTCATCCCCTCTGCCTCTGATGTCTGTGTCATTTTCCAGTCTATCTCTAGCTCTACTGCCTCAAAATCGCAAATAATATAAAATTACATTGCAGCTATTTAGGTTCTTATCCTACCTTCCACGCAGTATTATTAAAAACCAATGAGCAGGGCCTCCCCCGTGGCGCAGCGGTTGAGCGCTGGGTTGCGAAGCTGCCCGCGGCCTCTGCGGCGCCGGTTTGATCCCCGGCTGCTCCCCGGCCACTGGAGGAGGGTCCCACATGGCACGCAGACCTCTCCTGCTGCCCGCTGCTCCCCTCAGCAGTGTACTTCAATCCTTCTGCCTGCTCTGCTCCCTGCTCTGGCTCTGGTGAATTCTCTCACCCTCCCGCGCTTCTGACTGTACCCAGTGCATGTATAAAAACAAAACAAACAAACAAATAAATAAATAAATAAAAACCATGCCTCTATTAAAAAAAAAAAAAAAACATGAGCAATAAGTTGATTTTTTTAGCTAAATTATTGTAACTTTTTTTCCTCCACTGTATTGTTTTATTTTATATTAGATACACTTAATCTTGGAATTTAACAAGATTCTTTTTTTTTTCTTGAGGTAACATAGGTGTATGTGATTCAGAGGTATAGGATCACCCCTTCAGAGGCATGGCACCACATCACACCTGCCATCAAGCACCCATAGTGCTCCACCACAGTCCCTCGGGCTCTATCCAAGCTTCGCTCTGCACCCTTTAATTCAACAGACATATTTCTAGGCTTGTTATTGGATTTGTTTTGATTGACCCTTTGTTTCATTTCTTTGTATTCCACAGGTCAGTGTAACTGTGCCATATCTGTGTTTCTTCTTCTGACCTGTTTTGCCTAGTTACCCCCCTAGTTCCATCCCTGTTGTCACTAAAGGCAAGAGTTTATCTTTTTTTTTTTTCAATCACTGAGTAGCATTCCATTAACACATTGATTTATGATTATCACTTTATCATTCTCATCCTCTTCCCTATAAACCCTCTGGTGTAACTGATTATGAGAAATCAATTAGCTCAAAGGTTAGCAACAGATGATGAGGAGCAATCAGAGCATAGATTGTCCAACCTTAAATAATTCGATATTGACCCTCCAACATGCCGTGGAATACCATGATCCAAAGAAGAGTCCAGTGGCTTTCAAACAAGCACTCTCATATTTTTGTATAATAAACAATGTGTTCTTAGATAAACCACCTAATTTCTTTGAGTCTTAATTTCCCATTTGCTAAAAATGAGATGATAGTGTCCAAAATTATAAAGATTGAATTAGATAATGTATGAAAAATATTTAACAAAATATTTAAGTGGTAGGTAGCCAATAAGTGTGAAGCCCTCCTTTCTAGATTTTGTTAAGATCTTTATTGTGACGAAGCACATATGTTACAGTATCTGTGTATGTGTATTATCATATCATAACATGCTATTTACATAAGGTTCCTTAAAAGGCATAAAGTGCACTCACATATATCTCTTACCTTTAGAAGTACTAGGAAACCTTCACTGTGGCAAGTCCCTCTACTAATGTGATCTCACAGCTTGAAACTGACAACATTATAATGGGGCTTTAGTGTACTTCCATAATTTATGCAGTACCATAGCCTATAGCTTCTCAGACCTAAATTATTAAAATATAATTTACTTAAACTATACACATTAGAAATAGATTGTAATGTTGATTCATTAGCAACCTAGAATTACTTTCAATCTACTTGTATAAGATGCCTGCTTCCACGCTTAATTTTATTGGTGGTAAATGAATGGACTTTGATCCAGATAACTAAATCTTGTGTTACTTCTAAAAGGGCCGTGATCAGAGGTTGCAGGTAGAATTGCAAGAGTTTCTGCAGTGGGTGTCATCTGAAAAATGAAAGTGTTGGTTTCACATGTGCCTCTGTAAGAAATCAAAAGAAAAGGGCAGGAAAATGATTAACTTACATTTATAACATTTGACCAGAGGTAATAAATAGTAAAATGGTATCTGTTTTTTCCCCATCCCTGCCCTAAAATGGTATCTTTTTATAGTTATAGTTTCTTTTCTTCCCTCCCCCTCTCCCTCAACCACATCCCTTCCAAGAAAAAAAAAAGAAAATGAGAAAAATGAAGGTAATGCACTGTGGTATAGTTTAAAGTATGCTGGATTAAGAAATTAGTGGTGCTGGATTTGAAATCCAATGCTCATACTAGTTAACTATATGATATTAGGCAAATCTTTCCAAATGCTTAGCCTTAATTTTACCCCCATAAAATCAGAGAATTAGTTATATGACTGCTTAGGTACTCAACCAGCTCTAAGATTTTGTAAATTTATCCTCATTTGGTATCAAAGAATAATGAACAAACACATTTGATAATTTGAAGGGAGCAGATCATGGACCTCAATAAAATGGATCTAAGCAAACATGCATATGTCATATGTCCCTGAGCCCCTGAGTAAATCCCCAAAAGGCTGGTGACAAATTATTTGGCTATGAAAATGGCTCCATGGGGAATATCCATTCATTCCAGCCCTGTGTGATGAGGAAAAATTGACTGCTCAGCGGTCCATGATGAGATACCAATAGCATCAGATAATGTTCTAATTTAAAAATTGTATCAATATTACTTAGCAAATCAGAAAAATTTAAGCAATAGTGTATATTTAATAAATTACATCTTTGGCAAGGCATCTTAGAAGGCAGAATACTCAATCAAGGGTGTTATATGGATTTCCATGGATTAGCGCTTATTAACTGACCTGTATCAAAATAGCTTGAGCTTCAGGCTAACAGAAATAGTGATAAAGAGTATTGCCAATTTTCCCCATATTTAGGACTATTGATAATCCTGGGACTTTATGTCAGAGTTGAAAGTATACATTTCAGTCCATCTCAAATGTTCCCAGACGAGCCAAAGCCCAGCCACAGCTACCGTAGCCCATCTGCACCTTCACAATGTCACATCTGGAAGGCCCTCTTTCCTAGTGGCACCTTGTTGTTTTCAGCACACAGACTGCCATCTGTGTCAGCAGTTAGAGCAAAGGCTCAGAGAGGCTGAAACCACAAACATGTTTCCTATGGTTTGTGGAACATTTCTCTTCTTTTGATAGTGTATAATGTTGCTTCACTGTTTGTAGCAGCCTGTGAGAAACCAAATTGGGAGGCATTCAATTTATGTTTTTCATCAATATTTAAAAACACTGAGATAGATAGGGGAGAGATAGCACAGGGACATTAAACTCTCTTTGAAGTTAGCATAGAAAATGTATTAAAGGCCTTGTTCCTATCTAGCCTAACTGTTTTTTAATTCAAAGTCTTAGCTTTATTTTCAGTACATTGTTTGGAATCAAAGGGTTAGAGTCAAAAGGGAGTGTCATAAATAGAGTCCAGCGTTTGTTCAGCTAGAATACCAGCACAAACTATTTCTAGACGGTATGCCTCTGCAGCTGTGTGACTTGGGCAAAATCAAAACTTATACACGTTGTAGGAAGATAGTCCAGGCAACATTCTGGTCTACAAGATGTGCCCAGAGTGAAATACATATTGTTATAAACAAGTGAAGTTAGCAAAGAACGTAGTAAAATTTGTAGCCTTCATTGTTACCTGTGTAGGAACAGGAAAGAACAGCAGAACTAAAGTCCTCCCACTTACTTGGAAGTCTCCCAAAGATTCGTAGGAGCATTCAGGTACAAAAGTGATCAGATTTGGTCAACTTTGAATTATGAGGGTGTTTCATTGTGTAGCCAGCGAATTCTCACTCTCCCTGATAAGGGGCAGGATTTCTTAACCCTGGGCTTTTTAAGCCAGCCTCAGACTCCCACACACTGCAAACCTGCCAGCCCATACAAGCAAGTCATAGTTACCAACTAATGTTCTGCGCAACTTGCATGCTCTTCCTTCATCACACATCAGTTAGAAAGCACA